CACTTGCCCAGGCACACGAGAGGGCCAGGGATGAGGGGGGCTACCATTTCAAGGAACTCTTAATGCTCTCCCCTGGCAGCTTCTGCCCATTTAATTCCTGCTCAGCTCAGCATGCGCTAGAGTACATTGATGCCGCATGCGCACACACTGCTCCGGACAAGCCCAAAGCAGGCTTGCATGTGGCAGAGGTCAGGCATCGAGCTGGTTCCCTTTTTGCTTCCCACTCCCGCCCCCCCACCCCCCTTGTGCAGTACCTCTGCCCTTTGCTTCACCCTTTGCTGGAGTGAGTCAGGTTTTAAAATGCACATTCTCTAGGGCAGTGAGATGCAGGGGTGACTCAGAAGTTTTAAAATAGCCTTCCCTAAATCTGGTGCCCTCCATAAGTGTTGGACTACAACTCCCATCTTCCCCAGGTAGCTGGGCCATTGGCAAATCTGGAGGGCACCAGGTTGGGATGCTTTGTGTCAGCAAGGGAGGAGGCAACTTTGTGGAGCTAGTATGCTAAAATATTCACTTTCCTCAATCTGGCACCCTCCAGATGGAGAACAAATCCCGTTACCCCACAGCCAGCATGGTCTAATGGCAGTTATAGTCAGACTGGGCACAAGGTAGGGTACGATCACTGGAGATGGGTAGGCATCTCTTTTTGCTAGAGCAAACTTCAGTGTTCAGAATGTGGACTGAAGCTGAACACCCATTGGACTTGTGGATTTCCAGAGGCATCTGGTTGGCCAATAGCTGGATGAGGCCTTCTGGGAGTTGTAGGCCACACATCTGGCAGTGTCCAGGTTGGAAAGGCTGCTAAATGCATTGGACTTAGCCTGCCTTGGTTGTGACAGTTGTCCATCACTCTGGCAGGGTCCATCCTCTTTGCATGCCAAGCATTCCTGCCAGCTGTCAAAATCTGGTTACAACTGATTGCTTGTAAAGTGGATGAGTGAGGGTGGAGGTTGAGTAGGTATGGAGAGGCACCTGAATTCTCCTTGGACCTCCTGTGCCATGATTTGCTTTGCCTTCATTTCTGGAGAAAAGTGGCAAGGGATCAGCTCCCGCTTTGAAACCCCCGTGCCCCCATGACAGGGCATGCATCTGCTACCATAACTTTTCATGCTGTTTGAGAAACTTGAAACTCAAGGCCTGAGGGATCTGCATGAAGGAGTCCCCACCTAAATTCTCTTGCTGTTAATGTCGTAGCCCTCAAAAATGGGGGGAAATAGTCTGCACATGAAACCCAGACTCATTCAGCCTGAAGTTGGGTATAATTTGAGTGCAGAGTTTCTTTGTGCTCTTAAAGTCAGGGGTTGTGACCCTTTTTCAACTTAAGGACCAGATTTTATTTTGCAGACACTCTTGAGCACTGTGTTCTACTGGGGGCTGGAGGAGGTGGAGGGGCCAAGGGCAAAAGGGGGGAGACGAATGATATAAGCAGTACCAGCACAAGAGCTTTAAAGCTCTTGCAGCCAGTCAGAAAGATACTGCAACACTAAGCCTGTCAGAATGGGGAAGATCTACATAAACTAGGAAACCACAAAAGCATTGTTGGCTGGAGGAAAGGGAACTGGGCCAGGGGAAGTGAGTGGGGTCAAGTGTGGCCGGGGGCTCAGGTGGGCCAGACCTGAGGTTACCCACCCCTGACTAAGTCTGCAGGCATATATCCAGACTACCCTTTTCTTGCTCTGCCTATCTCCCTGTTTTTTTTTTTTTTTTAAGCTTCCAACAGCTATCAAAGTGCTGTGAAAACAGGGTGGGCTGCACCCTGATGTGTTCAGGAATGGGGGACCTATGTAACAGGAGCTTTCAAAGCCCTGCAAAAGGGGAAGGGAATGGCACCCACACCCTTCCAGGAGCAAAGACTGCTCTTGGCTTTGCTTTACTGTGAAAGCTCACCTTTTGACAACTGTCAGGGGAAAGCAAAAGCAAAAGCAAAAATTAAACCTCTTTCCAGCTTCTCCGGCCTGATGTCCCTTTAACAACAAGCACCCCACCCCAGGACATTACCCAAATAACACTGTTTCCTATTTCAGATTTGTGGAAATGCGCACCTTCACAGTTGCGCAAGTTCAGCAAGATGGTTTTATTTAGTACAAAAAACTGTGCACACTTAGAGCACCTTCCACTGACCTCATTTGCACAATGCAGCGCACTCTGTTGCCTCAGACAACATCTGATATTTGTCTTCCCTCTCTTACTGTTCCCAGATGATTTGCTCCCAATATTGTGCTGGCAGCCTGACAGCAGGTTCAGGTTGCTGCGTGAATCCCAAAATGCCAAGAGCAAAATAATGTGCCTGCCCCAACATAAAAAGAACAACCGGATGGCACATTTTTCCCCTCTTGTTGAGTTCCTGCTTCCCTGGTAAACTGCCCCATTCCAGATTCGGCCATAGAAACCATTAACCACTGTCTTTTGGCAATACAACTCCCAGAAATCCCATCACTGCAGAGCCTGGAACTCTTAGTGGAAGAAACCAGCCTTAGGTGGCCAATTCAGCCTTTGAGAATCAGGCAAAGCTGCACAAAAGCTTGGCAACCAAACAGCTGGTGGTCTGGGGAAAGGGGTGGGGCAATCTGGGGAACACTGGTGGACCAGTTTAGTATTTGACCCCCAAGTTTCTCCATCCTTGACTTAAAGAAAACCAGTTAACTGTCTGTACATGGCCAGCTTCTTCCTCGCATGGTTATCCGGTGGATTATTTCAAAACAAGAGGATGCTCCACACATGTAGCTTTTGTCGGCCTCTCCTTTCTGCTGCTGAGCTGCATTTAGGAGAGGCTGGGAGGGGAGGAAATTGGCTGTGGCTTTGGCATGCAACATTCTCCATTCCACAAAAGTCCCCTTCCGCCTGTTCTCACTTTCTCTCCTGGCCTGGATCCCAAGGCTGCCGTGTCCATCCTGTCTGCTTCCCTCCTCCTTTTTGGCCTCCTGATCCCCTTTCTGAGCTTCTGGCGATTTTTCCTGAAGCTCATTTTCAGGGGTTGCATGCAAACGAGTTGTGCTGGTTGAGCTTGGGAAGTTGCTCAACTGTGGCTTGGCTCCTGTGTGGGGAGCCCCACCCACTCGGTGCTCTGCAGCATGGATGAGGCTCCTTGGTGGAAGCAGCTGAAGCTCAAGTGTATCTCTGTGGACAATGCTGAGTGTCGGAACAGCCGTAGGGTGCTTGGGAGGAACATGGCCCAGGCTGAAAGCCCAAGAAACGCTGACTCCACTCTTAGAATAATGACTGAGGGTGCCTTTGCACTCATTTAGCAGTTCTAGCTTCCCCAAGGAATGCTGAGAATTGATGGATGCTCTGTGCATTGCAAACTGCCATTTCCGGAATTCCTTTGGGAGGGAGATTGCTATTAAAGCAATTAAGTCATTAGGGTGGGTATGTCCTACTGTTTAGCAGAATGTCTCTGCTTCACTCACAGCATGCAAAATCTAGCCTGCATATGGGCAGGGAAGGATTCAGTAGAAGGTGCAAAAGGCATAGAGATGTGGAGGCAGCAGAGTTGGGTCTGAAGGCGTGCATGCACACGCACACGCACACACGCACGTGTATGTGATACCTCTGAAGTTAAGCAGCACCAGGATGGGGCAGTGCTGGGAGATTCCATGTAGCCCAAATGGTGGTGGTTTCCAGTCTTGGATGCTCTACAATTTGTTAGCACCCCCTGGTCCACAGATGGGTATTTAACTGCACAAAGCGAGAGTGAGGTTGCAGCCTGGCTGAGAGACGTAGCAAAGTCCATGCGCTCCAGCATTCTTTGCCAGGAGAACCCCAGCAGCCAGCCAGCGCTAGGTAGTCTCCCAGAAGGTGGCCGAGGATCCATTCTTTACCCTTCCCTTGCTGAATAATGCTTCCTTAGGTAAAGAGAGGATAGAGATTACATGAAGACCTGGGGAAGTTGGAAAAAGCAGCAATCAGGGAGTTCACTTGATCCTCCTGTTGGGGGGAAACCCCATCATGAAGTTTGAGAGGCAGAAACAGTGACCGGTTTTAAGTGCCCTTCTTAGTGGTAGGGCATACAACTGTGCTGCCACGGGAAAGCAACAGTGGAGAGCTGTTGTGAACTCACAGTTAGCGGCACATTGAAGGGGCTGCCCAGCGTGTCCCTGCCTGAGTCACTGCTGATAGTCTTCCCTCCCCTGCCAGTGGGGACAGCGATTCTGGTGCCTCTCTTTCGTGATCGGAACATTCACCTGCTCCTGATGCACCTGAACGTTAAGCAAGGATGGTATATCAGGAATGCACCTCTGTGTTTCCACTCTCAGCTTGCCTTCTCCTCGTGCTCCCCGAAAACCGCTTTCAGTTGCAGGAAAGATGTGTGCCTCCCAAAACCTAAGGTCCAGGGGGAAGTGTCACTTGCCTACGGAAAGTTTGGGAAATGTTGCCCTGGGTGTTTGTGTGTCACAAAGTACAGAAGAACTTAAACTTTTGGACAGTGGGAACATTAAAATCTGTTTTAAATTTTTCAGTGCATTTCTTACCATTTTTGTTTATATATTGGATTTTATTGCATTTATTATTGTTGTTCACTGTCCAGTGAACTGCGCTTCAGTTGTTGGGCAGTAGAGAATAAATAAAGGTGCTACTTTGTGAGTGTGTCTGCAAAATGGCATGACCAGTTACGCAACCCATTTCTGAAAAGATAGACTGCTGAGACCACAAGAAAACAAGCTTGCTCAGAAACCTAAGCACAGTGCAGAGGTGGTGTTTGAACTCCTAAACACAAAATCCCTTCTTGAACCCCAGTGAAAATGGCCCTGGGGAGCAGCCCTCAGTATTGCAGCCTGCCAGATCCCTGTTAAAATGGTTTTTCTTACTCAGAAAGCTTAAATTCAGTAACCCCCATCGTCCTGGCCATGCCCATGCTGGCTGTGGCTGACAGAGTTGGAGTCCAGCAGTGACTGGAGGGCACCAGGCTGGGAGGGCTGGTTCAGCTGATGTGTGGAAATGTGCTTGTTTTCATGCGACTGTCTTCAGTCAGGTCAATCGGGCTGTTCTCCTTTCCTTCCTAGGCTGGAGGAGGTACCCCTGGAGGTGCTGAGGCAGAGGGAATCCAAGTGGCTGGACATGCTCAACAACTGGGACAAATGGATGGCAAAGAAACACAAAAAGGTGAGCCGCTGGCGAAGGGTCCGGTGGCCGCCACAGCCTTTTGCTCTTTGACTTCTCACTGCTGAAACATGCAGGCTCTTCTCTCTGCCTTTCTGGCCACTGTTCCTGCACGGGGTCTCCGCGTGCTCTGTCTTTGCTCTGTGTTTAAGATGCCCTGTGGTGGGGCTGGTGTGTTGGAGGGCAGGAAAGAGCTGCCTCGTGCACTGAAGGGGCTCCAGTGCTGCGGTCCAGGAGGGATGCAGGCCTTTCACGAGGTTTGCTAAAATGCCGCCTGCCTCAGTCCCCGCGTCTACCTGCACACGTGAAGTGCCGCTTCCTGCTCACCCGCCTGCCACGGATGATTCCTGTGACGTGTTGTCATGCTGGTCGTTACTGTTGTGACTACCAGCAGAATTCTTACTTTTGTTTGTGCTTTTGCCACAGCAATAGAATGTGCTCTCAGTTCCACTGTTGCAATTATCTTTGTGTTGTGCCATAACCACAACAGTCGAATTTATACCCAGCAGTATTATTTCGTTTCCTGCCCTCATTTTTCTTGCCCCAGTGGTTGGGCAGCTGCCCAGGGGTTGCCTGCTCCGCAGCCACTCCATCCATACTGATCCTTCCTTTGCTCTGTCACCCACGTCCTTGTCATAATGTCCCGTAGCTTTAAAAATGAGTTGCTGTAGGGGCAATTCATGAGCGAAGCACGATCATGCGCTGTATTTTGGCGTGCCTCCCTGGTGGGGCTGAGTGATCCTTGTTACTTGGATGATACATGTTACTGGCATTGCAGATAAACCTGCATTTCAGACCTCTTGCTTCATTGAAGTCCTTCCTTGCGTATGCCTGTAGTAAGGAGGCATCCAAGGGCCACTTTGCCTTGCCCCAAGCTGTGCCTCTCTGCTTCTTGCTTGAAAGTAACCTCAGTAGTCCAGCAGGCAGGACAATCTTCAATACTGCCCTCCCCAACAAGCTTCCTGTTGCTCCTCAGCATGTGGGCTCTGCACTTGTGTTGCGATTCTCAGCCGGCCTGCATCCACAAAGCTCCCTTGGCTTTGATATCACTCGGCCACTCTGCAGACTTTGCTACAAACTGTTGTGTCTGTGGCCGGGACTCGGGAAAGAATCCAGGCAGACATCTCGGCAGAGCTTATTATTCTGCATCAGCACCCCTTTATAACTAGACCGAGAATCCCCAGGCTGTGCTTGTGTTTCTTATGGGGACCTGTTTACTCTGTCAGTGTATCCCAAGATAACAGTGTCTGGGTTCAGGCAGGCCTCTAATTCTGTGTATGACAGCAAGAACCTGCTTATCTCTTTCCAGATCAGTGGCTGGGCCTCTCTCGATGCCAGATCTGTACTAATCGTATTTAGTATTTGTGTAACACTCTGAGTATCTCTACACTCCCCTGCCAGACAGGACCATATTAATGTCATATGTAAGAGAGGTATGGAGAGAGACTGCCCGAGATCCACTAAGGTGGCTCAGATGTAACGTTCTTATGCTTCAGCAGAGACACTGCAGGCTCAGGAACTCCCTCCCCGCTAGATGGGCTCATATTTAATTAGCTCTTGCTTAATGCTTGCCTCCCAAACTGCGATCTGCAGTGCTGGATTTTATTATAATTGTTAAAGAGCCTCATAAAAAAGATTACTCTTAGGTGTTGCATAATTCGATTTAAAATAATAATGAAGATAAAACAAAATCACAATGAAGTAATAAATTCCAGTGCGCTGTAAAATGAGTAGACATGCCAGCACGGCATGAGATGGAACACAAATAGTGGAACTAAAATCACTGTGAGGCACAAAGAGTGAAAGCCGCAGTGTAGGGACTGAAACAGCAGATTTTGCAAATTCCAAAATCGCAACGCTAGAATACCTAAGAGAACAGAAAGGTGTGAGGCTGCTATGGGGAGCAGGTGCCTACAGGCACCCCGGTTATGGGTGCAAGCGCTGCTACAGCCGAGCCGGCTTGTACCTGCTGCCACCACTGAGAGTAAAACCTGGTCTTTTCAGGCCCTCGTGAATGAATGCTCAAGGGTCCCACGGGGGTCTCTTGCGCTGAGCTTCTTGTGTTCCTCGGGGAGCAGAGCTAGGTGTCAGGCATTGTGTAGCACCCTGCGTGGAACCTTGCTGCTAAAATAGTGTTGGTATGACCAAGAATTGGTGCACCCCTTGTAAGTCTCCCCCTCTTTCATCCCCCATGCGCACAGCCTGGGTTTTGGTGAAAACAGGGTCAGAGAGTTATCAGGGTTTCAGGAAAAAGTACTGAATGAGGAAGGGTAGGTGAGGTTCAGAGCACAGAGCACAAAGTGATTTAACGTTGCGGTTCAGTGGCAAAAGACAAATAAACAGATAGTTCAGCCCGGCTAGTATGGCCCTTCGCTAAGCTGCCTGGCCGGTTCTTTGAAGATTTGTGGTCTCCATGGAGAGGTTTTCCTCATACCTGTCAGATCTTCACCTTCCTTTGGGGAAACCGGCATCCTCACCCCTGTGCCAGAGGAAAACCTGTGACAAACTCCTCTTCTTGGCAGAGTGGCACTAGGTGCCGGTACTGAGACCTCAAACTCCCCTTCCCAGGGGAGGAGATCTTTGTTCCCACTCCCCTTGCCTGGTTGGAGATTGCAGAAGGATTTGCTGGTTTCTGTCTGCTGACTGTCCGGTAGCTGTTCATCCCCAGCCCTGAAAATATTCTAGATGATTCCTCCTTGTTTAGGCTCTCGGGCAGGTTGGTAGTCAATAGGTGTGCTGAGCAGAGGTGCTTGGCCTTGGTGACCTCAGCCTGGGCAACTGCACTGCGGTCCCAGCATTCCGATGAGCCAGACTTCAGCTTCCTCAGAGGGCTGCAGCTGATTGCAAAGAAGCAGCTTCTTTGCCTTGGACTTGGGTAAGGTGGTCTAGGTGGGCTACTCCACACCTGCCTTGGTCATGCGAACTCTGGAGCCCAGGTGATGGATTTGCACTGCATGAGCCACTGTGTGTGCAGCAGTGACATCTCGTTCAGAGCAGAGTTTATTTTCAGATCAAGCAACATGGTACACAGTAAGAAAGCTCACTCCAGTGGTGGATCAACCTCACAAGAATTCTTCCCATCTGCCTTTTTTGGTCCTGCCTTAAAATAGTAGATAAAGGACAAAGTAATACCAAATATGAGCGAGTAACTCTAGCCAGATTTCCTGTTTTTGGAGTATGTGCTTCTTTCCTGACTTCAGCCCAACAAGAGTGAGGTCACTTAAACATACAGGCTTTGTGCTTACACTGCTTCCATATCCCCAAATCCCTGGAATCCTTGTTCAGTCGTTCCCACCTTTCCCCCCTCCCCTTTGCAGAGCTGGATCCAGAGCGGCCCTCCAGTCCCTCAGAGCTTGGGTTGAAGTCGCCAGCAAGCTGCATCCAGCTGAGCTCCTTCTGCCTCGTTTCCTTCCTGCTCTGAAGTTGCCAAGCTAGATAGCGTTGCCTAGTCAGTGTTTTGAGCACTTCCAGGGCTTCAGGCATGCAGGCCGACACAGCTGTTTTTCTGCTGCAGGGCGTATCTGGCTGGGAACTCCCTGCTGCAAAAGCCGCATTTCATCACAGTAACAGCTCACTGGTAGTTGGAAACCTTACTTGGGAGCACCAAGCTGAGCGATTGCGACTGCAGAAGTAGCTGTAATCCTCCCAGCATATTGACACCCCTTTTGCAACTCTGTTGGCATAATTTGCTGGAAAAACAATGAGGGGGGAAGGGACGGACAGCATCCGATAAGGCAGAGTTGTATTTGCATGTAGGAGAATACTGTTTTGAGGAGGTCTGAGGGAGATTGGGGTGGGGGTGGATACAGTCCATCTTTCGTTGGAACATCCAAGTTGGGGAAGTGTATTTAATTATTTTTAATAATTATTTAAGATTATTTTTAGGCTGCTTTTAAGGGCAAACCCCCCTCAAGGCAATGTAGAGGATAAAAGTCATATCAAAAAAGTATATGTATTATTATTATTTTTATTATTATAGCATTTCTGTGCCTCCCCTTGCCGAAACCTCGGGGCGGCTTACAACATGATAAAATACATTGAAATACAATAGTACATAATAAATTACCATTAAATATAAAAATACAAAGAATACATTGATTTACAAAAATAAAATTAAAATTATCAGTATAAAATAAAAATATAGGAGGAGAAAGAGAAGGAAGAAGAAGTTGCCCTGGCCAGATCATATGTTTTAACAATTGAAATGTAGCTAGAAAACTAATGTTCAGCAAGTGGAACTAGGTGGGCTAAGTGAGCTTCTGTTCTTCCTGCAACCCTCAGGTCCAGCAACTTATTTTAAAAGCAAAATGACCATGCTGCTTTTATTTGTGTCTGAGCTGTTGAGCAGGTGCCAAATTCCTTAACTTGCAGTTCAGGTCTGCCGTTCAGGTCTGCCAGGTACACAAGCCTCACCTTTCCAACTTTTCTGTTTCAAATTGGAAAAGGGGGCCGGTAGGGTAGAGAGAGAGGTACCTAATAAAACCACCATGATGGGGACACCTAGAAAGGCGATTTTAAAAGGCTCCGTGTATCTTATTCCAAAATACTCCCCCTCCTCCGTTGTTCCACCTGAATGGCGGCTATGCGGTGACAAGAAGCAATTTTAACTTGAACTGGCTGTGCCTCACTGCTTACATCTCAGGCATGGGTGTGGGGCATGGGACTGCGCAGCACTCCATGGCCTCGCTGCCGGAGCTCCTCCCTCTTCCCACTTCTGAGTCCGCCCGAGGCACTTCCCAAAATAGGCCTTTGCTAGAGGAGTGGAGAGTTGGCAAGGCACTCCTCTGGTGTGTGTGTGTGTGTGTGTGGCCAGCCTTGGGGGAAGTCGGTCAGCTCTGCGGTTTGCGTTTTTGAGCCGCAGTTCCAGGGTGGACCGAAACTGGGAGTCTGAAGTGCTCCCCTGTCCATGCCCCTGCAGCAGCGAACATCCCGTGGCTGGTTCTTGCTCTCTGCAGGCTGAGGCCATCCATTCCTCGGGGTGTGCAGCATCTCTAGCTTCCCCCACCCCTCCCTCCCTCCCTCTGTATGCGTATACCCAGGGAGATTACAGAGGGAGTGTGTTGCCGGGCAGGGCAGGAAGCAGGAGTTCACCTCCGAAGCTGCCTTTTCCCACAGACAGCAAGGGGAGGGTGTGCGATGGAGAGAACTCTGCTGCTGGCACTCGCTGACGTGGACTGTAGAAACACGGCCCTGCCGAGACTGCTGACTCCTCAGTCTTCCCCGGGACTGCACATTTCCCGTATGCCTTCTCCGGCGGTTTCCGGTGCCCTCCCATGAATGCAGCCCAGGCCTGGATGTGTTCTGTTTGCATCCCAGTGTGCCTTGCCTTCCTTGCCTTCCAAAGGGACCCCTTTATGTTTGCCTGGTGGGAAGCTCTCATCCTGTCCGCGAGGCACCCGAATGCATCCTGCAAGCTCCAGAGTAGAAGTCTCTGGGAAGCTGTAGAAGAAAAATGCAGAGACATACACTCCTTACCCTAAATTGCTGTTTCTTTTGTTCATGTTGTCCATCTGTTCTTGGGGGAAACAGACCTGGCCTAGCTGCAAACAGAGTATGCTTTGATTTCAAAGTGACTCTGGTTAAAAAAAAAAAAAGATTTTATTGACACCATATCCCAAGAACATAACACGGGGTAGGCAGAAGGGAGTGTTCTGTTTTGCGTGCATTTGCCTGTTTTTCTAATGAACTTCAGGGGAAAGAAGAGAACAAGGAGGTAGAAGCACAAAGTGTGGCTTCTCTTGTCTGACCACCAGCTTTTGTTGCCCTGCTTCCCTTCTTTGCGTGTGTTTCTCATGTGCTCTGAGCACACAGCGAAGTCACAGCGCAGTGATGCCTTCTCTGTCTTTTCAGATCCGGCTGAGATGCCAGAAGGGGATCCCTCCGTCTCTGCGGGGCCGGGCATGGCAGTACCTCTCGGGGGGCAAAGTCAAGTTGGAGCAGAATGCTGGAAAGTTTGATGTAAGTCCCTCTGAGGGTGGGGAGGAGGAAAGAAGGGGGAACTTCTTCCCCAGCTCCAGCATGCAGGACTGCTCATGAAAGCCAGTCAGCTTCAAATGCAAGAAAGAGCAAAGGAAGCCCTGCTTTGTGGGCTGGGAAGGGGTTTGCTGAGGTGTGATGCGTGACTGCAGGGAACAAACGTTGGCCTTCTGGGATCTGCATTTCTTTCACTGGAACCCAGGTAGAAATAGCAGGGAGGGGGAGCCCGGCAAGAGTGGCACTGATGATGAAGAATGTCTAGGTGAGCTGTCCCCTGTCCTGCCCGGGGGCCAAATGACATCAGCTGTCAGCACTGACCCTGTTGGGAGGAACATGCTGGCCCTGCCCATGTGCCCCTTTGGTCTGATTCAGCTTTGCTTTGTCTTCTGGCTTTTTGTATGTGTTGTGCTTTTTACCATATACCATGAACTAGTTGGAGGGCTCTAACTGAAAAGTAAATAAAAACAGAAATGCCCATCAGCATCCTCAAGAGCCATACACTATGTGGAAAGTCAAACCTATGCTTGACTCGGGCAAATAAGGATTCTCAGGCAAGCATTCTAGTAGCCAGTAAAGCTGCATCATTTAATACTCCAGTTTTTGCAGACAAGGAATGCTAAAGGAGAGATGATTAGCTCAAGGCCAGTCGTAATTATGCTTCCTGTTGTTTTTCTCAGGGAGTCCGAAAACATGCCCCATCTATTGGAAACCAGCCAGAAGTCTACCGGTTCAGCCTGGGCTCTGGTCATGGACTCATAACATGAGTCATCGTATTCATCCTGGTTTCCTTCCCAACTAACCCAACTTACATGGTTTTACCATTACACAAATGAGGGGCCCATAATCCATAAGAGCACCCCCCCCACCAGATGCTGAACACAGGAAGCTGTTTTTTTCCCCCTGGCCTGCTTATGAACTTCCCAGTGGGATCTGGTTATTTACTGTGGGGAGCAGGAGGATGAATTAGATAACCCCATGGGCCCAAAGCAGCTGTGATGTTCCACACACCTTTGCATTGAATGTGTGCTTTAAAACAAATGCAGATCGCAACCACTCTGGAAGAAAAGGCAGACTCGCTGTGGCAAGGATGAAAATCGGTCTTCCAAAGCTGCAGTCTGCATTTTTTTTTGGAGCGCACATTAAGTGCAAAGCTGAATTTAACATTTATTATTCATTTGGTGCATTTTGATCCTGCTTTTCAGGCCATTTTTTTCCCTTTGGTGGCCCACATCAATAAAAAGAGGGAGATGGACCTTGCCTTCAGCTTGGGCACGAAACTGACACAAGGGAAGTGGCAGGGAGGGAGCTCAGTTCTTCAAAGCACTAAGAAGCTCCTGAAATGCATGTCAGGCCAGACACGGCTTCCTGTGCTGGTGTTACCTGAACAAAGCCCCTGCTGTTGAAGGGATCCGGGGTGCGCCTGCAGTTCCAGGACGATGGTCAGCAGGAGGGGTGCAGCCTGCCAGTGGCCTCTGCTCCCCTGGCCGATGGTAGAACCCCCAGCATGCTTCGCTTCTGCCCAAGTGTTCTTTCTGGCCCGGAGCGGGGAGCAGACTTTTTCTCCACTAAAGAATTTAATGTTTCACACACAACTGTGAACAATCATTTCGCATTCAGCATCCTGGCTGAGCTTTTGGTCTGGGCCTGCGGGGAACTTCTTGTGACCTCTGAAGGGCAAAGTCTGCCATGGGGGTGCCTGCCAGCCTGTGCTAAAGTAGAACCGATTCCATAGACGTTGCCCCTGAATGTTGGTCTGCAGGGCTCTCTGGGGAGCTCTGGAGCGCGGGTTTCCTCTCTCAGTGGTCACTTGCACACAGCTCTGGGCTCTTTGATTCTCCTTTGCTTCCATGCTCATTTACTGATCTGCCCTTTCCTTTATGACTTCCATTCCTTATCTTTGGCAGGGACTAGAGAAGGCTGGGGCAGCACCTAGCAGAAGCAGGTTTTGACGTTCATCTGATTTGAGCTGTGCAGTCCATGGATTGTGCACAATGCATAGGGGAAGGGTCTGGGAATTGCCACTTCCAGCCCTGGCCTGACAGTTGGCAGCTACAGCACGCTATGGAATCTTTGCAGGTTCTTTGGGACCATTTCGTCCTGCTTAGGAGCAGTAGTTCGTCCTGCGTGGGACCCTCACTCAGTCGTTGAGTGCCTGGCTTGCATACACAGAGGTCCCGGTTCATTTCCAGCATCTCCACTTAAAAGGGGGGCCAGAGTGGGAACCCGTTCTCTCTGCTGGGGAGCCCCTGCGAGGCAGAATAGATGATGCAGGTTTAGATGGATCAACTTCCTGTGATCCTGGAGTGTGCATCAGAGGTGGGCAGCTTGTACGACAACAGTTCTGATTGTGTTAACAAAATACAGTCAGTCTTGGGGGAAAATGCGAAGTATAAGCTGATGTATCTGGAGGGCCATTGGATGCCCACTGCACCGTACCTTCTCTTTGATAATGAGTTTATCTAGTTTTGGAATACTTCGCTTCAGCCTCTCCAGTGACAAGCTGGCTGCATATTTGCAGCTTCTCTGGTCTGGTGTTTTGATCTTCTAGCCTTCACCCTGCAGTGTTAACAACTCCCTCTCATTTGCAAGTCTATCTAGGTTTTGAATATTCTATCCATATAAAAATACACCATTGATGGTACATAGCACCCTTTGAAAGAAGAGTGGATTGTTTAGGAATGTGTGACAAAACTGTGCTTTAAAAAAAAAATCCTGGATTCTTGCAACTTTGGAAGGTATTCCTCTATCTGGTCTGCAGGACCTAGACATGGCCCCGGGAGACCCCAAGTGGCTGGATGTGATCGAGCGAGATCTCCACAGACAGTTTCCATTCCATGAAATGTTTGTTTCTCGTGGAGGCCACGGGTAAGCTGGGGGTCAGTGCTCCACCCTTCCGTTCTCCTGAATGCAAGCACCTGCTGATCCTCCCTTGTAGACATGGCCCAGTCCTGAGCAGATGGGGCAGTGCTGAAAGGGCGGGCCTGCCTTAGGGCAGCGGTGGGCAGCTTGCGGCCCTGCAGCTCTGACACCCCTCACCTGCCGCTCTGCTGGCCAGGGTGAATGGGAGCTGCAGCACAACCCGTCTGTCTGAAGAGCTGCAGGCTGCCCAGCTCCCGAGGTCACAGCAGGCACAGAATTGGAAACAAACCGGACTGAAGGAGCTGCTTGGTCTCTTGGCCCCTGCATGTTCCAGCTCTCCTGGCCTGGCATATAGTTCTGGGGCCTGTGGATGGCGGTCCCCGCCTCCCTTCGCCCTCACTGTGTGGCGGCTCTTGTCTCTGCAGGCAGCAGGATTTGTTCCGGGTGCTGAAGGCCTACACGCTTTACCGGCCAGAAGAGGGCTACTGCCAGGCCCAGGCCCCGATCGCTGCAGTGCTGCTGATGCACATGCCTGCAGAGGTGGGTTAGGGTGTACGGGGTCCCTCTTTTGCAGTGAGGGGCGGAGGGGATCTGGAGCTTCTCCCTGAGCCGGTTTGGAGAGGTGGCTGGCATTGACCCTCTCTGTGCTGATCTACGAGGCCGCCAGCTTGTCTGAGGGAAGTCTTTCCTGCCCGCTAAAGCAGCCTTCCCCAACTGGGGGCGCTTCCGGTTTGGAACGGCTGTGCTAAGGTCACTGGGCTGATTTTCACCTGGCATCGAAGTGCTGAATCGCATGCGCCTGGGTGCCCCCCGATCAGATATCTTGGCTTTTTGGTGCATTTAAAGAACAGGACACCACTTCTGAGATTGGTGGAAGGGGCTCTGAATTGGGCTTGAGCAGCAGGGCACAGGAGGAGGTGGTGTAGCAAGTGCTTGAATGTTTGCAGCAGGGACGCGCTGAAGGACTTCCGTGTATGTGCGAACGCAAGCCGCAGCAGCTCTCCCTCATCGTGCTGCTCTGGGGTGGCCACAGCACTGGGAGTGGCGTGCAGAACCTCTCTGGGCAAACAGTGGCTGCTGCCCAGAGCCGGGTGCCTCTGGGACCCTCCCTGCGCTGCTGCCTGCCCGGAAGGGCTTGGTGCTGAAGCGGCTCTCGGAAGGGTTGTGCAGAAGGGGTGAGTTCCACCCAGGGCATCGGGAGCGGCAGAGGTGGGGAAAGCAGCACCATCCGTTCCGCACTGTGGAGTGACACCCCGTGTGCTTCTTCGTTCTCCCGTCAGCAAGCCTTTTGGTGCCTTGTGCAGATCTGTGAGAAGTACCTGCCTGGCTACTACAGTGAGAAGCTGGTGAGTACTCGAGGCACTCCGGAACCCTGCCCTGGGGCCTCCTCTCTTCCCTTTGGGGTGGGCTGCACAGGGGTCCTGTGTTGAGACCCCTGGCCTGAAAAGGCAGCCATGCCTAGAGCCGCTCCCAGCCCACAGGCCGCATCCAGAGGCGGTAGGCTCTGCGGAAATGCATTCTAGGGGACTGGGGCACAGGCGAAGGCAGCTGAGACACAAACCACCTGAGCCTGTTGTTGCTTTGATCTCTCCACACCTCATGGCCTTCGGAGGGGCATTTCCGCTGGCTTGGGCAGGAGAGTGCTTGGGCAAGGGACACGAGAAGGGAACTTGGCCTCCTGGGGAGTCCCAGGGTGCCAAGTTGGGACCTGAAGAGGGCAGGTTTTGGACCCGGCCTTGAGGTTTTTCACGCTGGCCTAGGGGGTGAGAGGGAGCCCTGAATTGCTCCGAAAGAGGTCAGATGGCCGGAAGGTCTCTCCACGCTCAGCCGGACTCAAGTGCCTCCTCTCTCTCCCTGCAGGAGGCCATCCAGCTCGATGGAGAGATCCTTTTCTCTCTGCTGCGTCGGGTCTCCCCCGTGGCTCACAAGCACCTGAGCAAGCAGAAGATGGACCCCATCCTGTACATGACAGAGTGGTTCATGTGTGCCTTCTCCAGGACCTTGCCCTGGAGCTCCGTGCTGCGGGTCTGGGACATGTTCTTCTGCGAAGGTACCCCCGGCCCCCCCCGACCTGCTCAGGCTGACGCTGCTCACTGGCCCCTCCAGAGCCCCCTCCGTCCAGTGGGGCAAGGCGAGGGACGAAGGCATGCGGGCTGCCTTGGCTGGGAGGCAGGCGTGCTCCAGAGCGCTCATCCTGGCGCCACTGGCCCCTGGAGAGCAAGCCTCAGGCTGGCTGTCACTCCAGCACAAGGGCTGCAGCTCCCTCACAGCGCTCCCCTGAGGAATCCCCTCTCTCGGCTTCTCCTTGTGCCGTGCCCTCCTCCCTCTGCCGGGCCACTCCTGCAAAGACGAGGCTGCCACGGAGCAGCAGAGGGGGAGCGACAGGCCTCCCCTCCACCCCCCTCCCCTCCTTTTGGAGCACGGTGGGCAGCCGGCCTTCTCCCAGTCCAGTGAGTGGAAGGGAGCCAGGCTGCTTTCTCCTTGGATTTCTGTGTCTAAGAAGAGCCATGGTTTGTGCTTTTAAAAGAATGCTAAGGAAATTAGTGCAAATCGGCATCCAAACGTGTGTGGATCTAGCGCAGTCTTTGTAATATCGGCCCACTTGCACAAGTCATGCAGCAATCTTGTGCTTTTCTGGCGCCCTTCTTGCAGATCAGCTGATGTTGCACTATTTTCTTTTGATGTTTCCTTGTGGTCTTCTAAATGCACATTTTGCAGTCTGTCTTGGAGACCGTATTCCGCAGGCTGGCTCGGCTTGCATCGTATCCAGGAGGCAGGTGGCAGTGCAGGGCTGGGGGATCAGGATCCAGGGAGCTGACTCTTGAAAATCCCTCGGGTTTTCACCCCTTTTGCAGATTTCCTCTCATTCCTCCGCGTGGGGTTGAGGTGCTGATCCATAGAGAGCTGCTGCCACCTGCTGGGAGCTTCCAGAGAAGCAGCTGCTCGCATCCCTGCTCCAAAGGCACTGCGTGCCTATTTGCTCTTTTCCTTCCTAACACTTTTTCTGATAAAACACCAAAGCTGGCACAAACACACAAGGCAGCGACAAAGGGAAGGTGGCATCTGAATCACCCCTGCAAAAGTCAGTGAAGGAGTCAGGGCAAGCTTAGGATAACAGTCTCACCTGGAGGTGCCTTTTATCTAGGCATGCCAGCCCTTTATTTCATTAAATATTTCTTTTGTATTTGGTTAATTGCCTTGACTACACTGGGCTGCATGAATGTGCAACATGGACTGATCCAAGATCACCCTCTAGCAGGGGTGGGCAGTCCTTTGGGACCCGAGGGCTGGATTCCCATTTGGAAAAGCTTTCTGACTCCATTCAATGGTAAGCAGAGGGCTCAGGTGAAAATGGCCGGGACCTAAATTCCTGCCAGCCCAAACTCGCTGTTATGCCCATTCAGAATGCTTGTCTATCCAGAAATAAGGTCTGCTAAAAAGAGGGCAGGAGAAACATTTGTGTGTCTTCTCAGAAGTAAGCAAAGATGGGCCTTTGTAGGAAAGGCCTTAGCTGGTAGCAGGACTGGAATCTCTCAGTATTCCTCCCTGGCCGCACTCTCTCCCTCGTGGGGAAAAGCTTCTTCTGCTGGCCAGAGCCAAGTACTTTCCCCCACTAAGCACTGGAAGAGATCCCTCCAGTCAGCTGTGAGCAGAGATGAGAGCTTTTCCCTCCTGGCACAGTGGGAAGCAGCTGCCAGGCGGGATGCAGAGCCCTGCCCTGTGGACCAGAGGCCGCCACCCCTGCCCTGTGGGTGCTTCTGCTGAGCTCGTCCCTGCTTGGAGGCTCACACCCTGCCTTTCCGCTCCACCACACTGGCTCTGGAACGCCAGGCCACATCGTGCTTTCGTTAACCGCCTTCAACAGGAGTGGGCCCATTTCTTAAGCATCTGGAGGGTGTGTGAAACGGTTGCTTGGCTTGTATTCAGCTTTTCATCTTGAGAGGGAATAAAATAATTGGAGGCTGGTGCATGGATGAAGGACTCCACATCGGAGGCCTCCTCAGCTTGCCCGGCACAGCAGTGCTGTGTGCCCTCGGACGATGCTTCGTGAACTGCGCTCCCTCGTGGCCGGCTGCCTGGCTCCACTTGCACACCCCGGAGAATCTCCGACAGTCATTTTTGCTTTTCCAGGTGTTAAGATTCTCTTCCGAGTGGGCTTGGTGCTGCTGAAACACACGCTGGGCTCTTCGGAGAAGCTCAAGGCCTGCCAGGGGCAGTATGAGACCATGGAGCGGCTGCGGGCGCTGAACCCCAAGATAATGCAGGAGACCTTCCTGGTGCAGGAGGTAAAGTGGCGTGGCTTGTCCAGCCAGTGTCCCCTCTCCGCTTGACCGAATGGGTGGCTTGCTTGGAAGAGGTGGGCTGCCATCACCGGCATGGCCTCCACTTCCGGCGGCTTCTGCTCCTCCCATTCGGTAGCTGTCGGCAGCGCAGAAGCCCTGGAAAAGGCCCCCGGAGGGCCGCTGCAGGCCAGGAGTTGCCCACCCGTGTCCGTTGGCGGCCCCCATGTGGGGCAAGCCCCACAACATGAAAGTCTGGAGGGGGATTCTGCATGCGGCCAGCCGAAAGGCCTTTGCTTGCTCGCGATGTATCCTCAGTAAGGCTGGGCTGACCGTTGGCCAGCTGGGGGCTGGAGGGGCGCCTGCTTGGAGCAAGGGCTTTGTGCACGGCCCCACTCCGGCGTCACGATGCTGTTGTCACGGCCCTGTTTGGGAAACTGGGCCTGGTGGAGGTTTGCGAGGGGGCGGAGGAGAAGATGAGTCTGGGGAGACGGGTGAGCTGGCCACAGCCCGTTCCGTACTGGTCTCATGGGCCGGGCTTGAGTGTGTCAGCCAGACACGTTCTGTCTGTTATGACTTAGGTCATAGAGTTGGAGGTGACGGAGCGTCTCATCGAGCGGGAGCACCTGATCCAGCTGAAGAGATGGAAGGAGACCCGCGGGGAGCCGCAGTGCAAGTCTCCCCCTCGCTTCCACGGCGCCAAGGCCGTCAGCGACTCCGAGCCCTGCTCCCGCAAGGCCCTGGAGCCCTCGCCCTCCATCATCCTGCCCCCAGGTGCCTCCCTCTCGCCCAAGGGCCGCAAGAGCAAACTGCCCAAGGGGGCCAGGAAGGAAGAACAAAAGAAGGGCTCCCTGGGCAACGGGCCCATTCCCGAGGAAAACGGATCCCAGACTTTGCTGGAGCCAGCGCTCCTCCATCAGTCCAAGGAGAGCCTCAGTTCCCGGGAGAGTGAGGACACGTACCTGTAAAGCTGACGGTTGCACATTGCAGGCCGCCCCCAGCCTGCTCCCAGAGGTGGTCCGAGTGGCTGTCGCTGCGCCAGGGTAGGGGGTGGGTGAGCGGGATTCCGGGGGATCTGCGTTGCCGTGCGGGCGCTCGGGCTGAGCCACACTCTGTCCCGCAGGCACCCCAGCTGCGGGGGGAGGAACTGCACGCGCCTTTGGTGTCCCGGGTCGGAAGGCCTGAAGAGCACGTGTGTTGCTTTCCCCTCCCAGGAGGAATCCGCACTTCTTCGTGGCACAGGGCGGGCAGAGAGATGCGGGGGCCTGGGGGCTACGCCGGCCCCACCCACCGCCTTGCCAGTGCCGCTTGGCACAGCCTGGGTGTTCCATTAGAAAGGCGCAGGCGGGGGGGGGGTGGCTGCACCCGCCAGCGCTGGCCCCCTCTGTCCCGGCATGCGGGATCGCGACCACCCCTCCTCGCCTTGCTGTGGGAGCAAGCGCTCATGTCAGTGCAATCAGGGCTGCCCCCGGGGAGGGGGCAGCCATCTCACATTCCTGCCAGCCCTCCAGGCCCCGTTCCTCACACTCCCCTTCTCCAAGTGAGCCTTACGGATGCCGGATGCCGAGTCTTCATTGCCCTGAGTTGGCTTGGCCGTCCTTTTGGCCTGGAGGGTCTGGCACCGTCTCAGTTACTTCCATATTTTCTGCCCCCGCATGGGAACAATTGGGAGGCTTTGTCTGCCCCGTTACCTGCATGCCCAGTTACGACACGCACCCCTTGGCAGGGGAGGGCTCTACCCCGCGAACACTTACGCTGGCAGCAGAATCCGTACCGTGCAGGGAATGGAGGGGCAGGTGGAGCTGGTCTCGCTGTCTTGACCAAGCTGTCAATTCTACTATGCTGTGTCGTAGGCTTTCCCTACTTATTGCCCGCCAGATGTGCTGGACCAACACATCTGGAGGGCGCTAGGTTGCTGGGGGGGGCTGCTGCGCCAGATGTGTAATGCTAAATGCATCTTACACTTCGGGACCATTTTTGGTTGGTTTGTGTTTTGCAGGAATCTGGTACTTGGGCCAGGTGAGGTGTGAGTGGGATTCCAGCGTGCCTTGTCCTGGGGCAAGGGTTGGCTCGAGCTGCCTGTTGCCTCCCACCTTCACCAGGGCTCCAGCTCCCCCACCCATTGCGTCCACAGCAGCCTGGTTCGTGACACTAAAGTCACTTTCGTCACCTGGCCCCCTGAAATCCTCAGATGGCAGCAGGAGTTTTGATTGGACTCCTGCCTTCCACACACGCCCCCAAGGGGATGGAGGGAAAGCTGAGCCCCTCCTGGCTAGAGGGCGAAGGGGCAGAGTGGCGCCTCCTTGCTTGCTGCCTGTGGCCCCACCCGTAAAATGCCAGGTATTGGTGGTAGCACCTTCTCTGCAGTCTGCCACAAGCTGAGGTTAGACTTCCCCCATCTTGGAGGTGGCCGAGAGTCCAACCCCAGTATGGAGATGAGCCTTTGGGCCTCCGGTCTATTAAGGCGGCTCAGAGGCCTCCCGCTTCTCGGTAGCCCCTGCCTTGGCCTGGCCAGCAGCTGGGCTTTGGGGAGCAGGCAGTAGCACTTCTTGTGGTCACAGTGGTGTATGTCCAGGTGGCGGGGTGGGGAGCGCTGGCCTTTCCACCCCTCGCATGGCCGGGCTGCGACTGACCTGGGGAGGTGGGGGGGGGGCTCTGCATGTGTGGGTTTTTAAAATGGAAAATCAGTTGCTGAAATAGTTTTGTACAAAAGGCAAAATAAAGCTGAATTATGTAAGTGGCGAGCACTGCCTGTTGATGGGGGGCCGTTCTAGAGAGCGATGGGAAGGAACGGGACGTCGGGGGGCTGTTTTGCTCCCTGCAACTAGCCTCTGACCCGGCCTTCAGGGGCTGAAGGGGTGCTTTCTGCAGCGAGCTCAGGGTGGGTGCGCTTCCTTTCCCTCCGCAGTGCTCATGGCCACAGAATCGGCCGCATGGCAGCGTTCCTACATGAGGTAGGGAGCACTTGTTAAATGCTTGCCATGTGTGTCCATCTTCGTGATCCCACGCGTGAAGCACCTCTCACTCCGTCAGACGTGTGGCTGAGCACACACGCCCAGGCGGTGGGAGCCTCACGGCCAGCCTAGCAGTGGACCTTGGACACAGGCCTTCGCTCCCCGGCTCTCGTCTGGGGACTGCCAGGGTCAGAAGGGTTGTGGGGGAAGTGGCCCTGGCTGGTCAGAGATGGCTCCCCTTGCAGCTGCAGGCAAAAAGCCCCCCGATTACTTTTCAAGCACGGTTGATTCACAGTGGCCCAGAAACCAAACCTGGTTCTCCTGTTGACCCTCACGACTCACCCCCGATATTTGGAACGTCGTGCAGGAGCAGTGCTGGAGCAGGGGGAGAGGTTCTGGATAATTTTAAAGCTACACCCCTTCAGAACGACCACGGGCCTTGTCTCACGGGGTGGGCAAGTGGCCGGGTAGATCCTTCCCCTGAGTTCTCTGTCTCCGTGGCACTTGCGCACGGCTCTGTGCTAGCTGACACTTGTGTTGATCGCTCAGCTGCTCCTTTACCCCTTCATTCTTGATCGCTGGGCAGGTTCTGCAGAATTGTTACTGAGGCAATGATAAAAGCAGACATCTGTGGTTCACATGGACCTGGCTTACCCTCTCCTGGATCCGTAATTCTCGAATCAGCAGTTCCAGTCCTCACCTGACCACGTTGTGGAATCTGCAGGTTCTTTGAGGCCAGTCCTCCCCTGGGATAGGTGGCCATGCCCAGGACATGCCTTGCGTACTCAAGGGCCCAGGTCTGATCCCTGCATCTCAGTTAAAATTATGGGATAGAAGGTGAAGGAACGGCCGTGCTCTCTGCTGGGGAGCCTGGGCGGCCCCTGCCAGCCAGAATAGATGGCGCTGGTTTCGATGGACGGTAGTCCGACGGCTTTCCGTGAGCCTGGTGTGTGCACCAGAGGTGGGCCGCTTGTACGACGAAGTTATGGAGAGTCCCCGCTCCAATGTCCCTAGCTAACTCAGTCTTGGGGGATAATGCGAGGTGTAGGCTGACAGATCTGGAAATCCCTGCTCTCAATCTTATCCCCAGAACAACAACCCTGTGAGGTAGGCTGGGCTGAGTGTCTGTGACTGGCCCAAACTCACCCAGCTGACTCCATGGCCGAACAGGGACTAGAACCCAGGACTCCTGCTTTTTTAATCACGTCACTACACAAGCTCTCAGGAATTTGGGAGGGTCCAGCGCAGTTGCTCATCCCTGCCATGGCCTCTTCTGTGTTTGCTTCCAAGGGCATCATGTGACTTGTCCTCTGCAGATTTCACATTTAGATGGTGCTTAGGTTTTCAGGCCTAGCCTTACGGGAAGGGACTTACGCCCATCCGCACCTTCAGTCCCTGTTGAAGTGATAACAGTGTTGCCACGTCTCCTCCTCCTCCCCCATTTTAACCCAAGAACTGAGGCATCAGTTGTAACACCCTACAAAATGAAGAACGTTCTCTGAGAGTGAAGTTCGCCTTCTCCTTGGGCTGCATTAAATGCATGTGGCGTTTATCCTATGGCTCACGTGGGATTTGTGGACTATTCCATGACCCACATGTGCTTCAGTCCCATAAATCAATTCCCCCCTCCCTTGTTTTAGCATTCACTCATGGCGGGCCCCCTGCTTCATCATCTCAAGGGCTTTAGGAAGCACCACATTTATGGTAGGAAAGCCCAGCTGTAAAATTACTCAGGGCGTGGCTTCTCCCACAGCAGGGCTGCTTCTGCCAAACCAAGCACAGATGGGATCCCCCGTGATGTAAGTTGGGAGTACATTCAGTGGCCTTCTAGTGAGTCAAGTCCGGTTCACTAATGCGGGTTGGCAGACGTGATGGTTTTCATTTTCCGCTTGCTTTCACCATGTGTTGTTCTTTGCATTCAGGTCGTGCTATTACACAGAAAGAGAAAGGAAAAAAGAGGAAATCGGCCATTAAAGCCATGGTGTTGACCCCCCGGCCTTCAGGTCAAACCCTGCCCTCCTGGTTTCCCAATTGAGCCCTCTGGAAATGCCCAGAAGAGCCATTTCCTTTCCCTCAGCCACCAGGTGATGAGGCTTCCTTGGAATTTTCCATTCCCACAAGGACTTCTGTTGTGGGGGCAAAGCGGAGCATGAAGGAAAAGCCCCCCGCCATGCTCTCTGTGACACCTGGCTGGCCAGCCTGGGTGGACTGAGGGAGATCCTGCAACGACTCCCGTGCCTGGTGCCAACTCTGCAAACCCCCGCATGAGGAAGCAGCTGCCTTCTCAAGCAAGCCACCAGGGGGTGCTGCAGTCCCGCACAAGCTGCGAAGGTCCTGTGAGGCTGGGGCTTTGGCCCTGCCTGTCTCCTGCAGCCTTGTTCCCAATGGCTTCCCCAAACTGGAATCAGGCCCTCCGGCTGGAAGTTATTCTGCACCCCAGCACAGACGATGGGATTTCCTGGGGGGGACCTACCTAGCCAGAGCCATACTTCATAGGTGGTTAGAAAAACATCCCAAATGGCCAAAAGACTAATTTAACAATTGTCATCATAACAAATAGGCATCTGAATGGTTATCATTTTCTCATCTTACTAGGTGAAAATATGCCTCCTCTGACCCCACAAGCACTTTTCTGATTGTGGGGCAATTTGCTCCTCCAGGTCATGCTGGAAAGAGGCTTTATGGTGTAATCCCAGGGCTGCTGGACGCCGGGTGGTTGGCCATAAGCAAGGTCTGAGTTCCGGCTCCAAGCTCAGAAATCCTTCCCAGGATTGGTGCTGCTTCTCCCGCTTTGGAGGGTCCTTTGCCCTCACAGCCCGCATGCTTCCTTCTGTGCCGGTTGTAGCTGTGGAGTCCCCAGGCGCGCCCCGGAGAGGGGATGAGGGGCCTGCCGCAGCCTGTCCTCCCAAGCAGGCGCATTGCCCTGGGATCGCCCAAACCGCCCAATGAAGTGTTTTGGAGGGTGGTTGGATGCTCATAATCCTCCGAGTTTGAACGCTGACCTTTAGGGATGCTGGCCTTTGCAGGGAAGTGCGAGTCCATCTGCTCTCTCACAACCCTGAGTCTGACTTGGTAGCGGACTCCCCAAGCATCTGTGTGGGCCCCCTCCAGGAAACGAGCTTGCGTGGATGCTGGGAAGCAGCATTCCTCTCCCACACGTGTGTTTTGCAGCCTTGGTGACACCTGTGACACGGAAGGAGGTCGCCGGTTGCACATGGCTGCTCCACAAGCCTTTGCAGACCTTCCCTCAGTTCCGTTTGCTTCCAAAGCTGGGGTCAGCGCAAGAAGAAACCCGATGAACAGAAGAGCGCTGGATTTCAAGAGGACCACTGCAATCCCCGCCCTCGGGGTAGCAATACACTCCACAAACACGGCTGTATATTTTTATGCTTACAATGCAACGGTTATTGTCACTCCTTCTAAACTGGAAGCTCTCCTGATATACTGACACATGCAAATGTTATAAAAATGGGTGCCTTCCGTCCTCTTTGGGGGCAGCACATTAGTAACCCCCAAGAAGAGATGTGCATGCACATAGTTTGTCCTTAACTCAGACCCTGAAGAGTTAGGGCATCTTCCAGAGGTCTTCAGAGTCCTGCCATTCTCATCCCACCCCTGGGGATGAAAGCTGTCTCCTAATTCGGGAATGTAGCCTCACTGATTATTCATGATCCCCCGTGCACAGGCCCACTCCTCTCTTCTTTCAGCCCCTCTTATTGTGTGATGCTGCAGGTAACCAGGCTGGGGGTGAGGATAATACAGGCCTAGAATACTTCTTGCAAGCACCATAAATTGCTCCGAGTGGGCCAACAATGGACAATTGCACAGAATTGGAGTCCAGCCAGTGTTTCAGTGATGCCTCAGTGATGCCTGTGCTGTGAGGGGAGCTTCACAGATGACCACGGAGTGTGGGAGCCCGTTCACCTAACGGGCTTATTAAAGGGTGGAAGCTTGAGAAAGCATCTTCATTTTCCCAGAAAATCTTTGGTCCTCCTTTGTGTCCACTCTGCGTTGTACATGTGAGCTCTGCACTATCCAGAGCCCAGCTTGGGCATCTTCTCAGCTGAGATTCGTGATGAGAAGCTGCTCCCAGTGTCCTGGGATACTTGCTCATCCAGCAGGTTCCTGTCCATTCCCTTAATTTCTTTCCAAGCATCACTGGGAGACCGTTTGGTGTGGTGGTGAGACCGTTGGCCTTGGACTGGATCTATCTGGGTGTTAGTCCCCACTCGGATGTGAAGCTCACTCAGTGACTTTAGGCCGGTCCCTGATTCTCAGTCCAGCCTACCTGGCAGGGTTGTTGTGAGGATAACTGGAAAGATGAAGGCTGCAAGCCACCTCGGGTTCTTTGCATGAGAAGGGCAAACTAGAGGGATAATTAACCTAAATACTTCCATCTCTTTCTGCTGGCCTCTAATGTTGTTAGTGGCTCTCTGGAAAAAAAAGAAACTTGTCCTTCCAGCCACGGCTTTAGCAGGCCTCCTTGGAAATTTACTTTGATTGTTCTGCAGCTTTCCGAGGAAAGTAAAAGGAGTTCATTTAGCAGCTGTCTGCAGTTCCTGCGGGTCATTCCAAGAGGCAGGCGGGAACTTCTAACAATTCCCAGTCAGTTGCCAAGCGAGCTTTTGTGAGGGTCGTTCGGAAAAAAACATGGCAAGCCAGAACAGTGGTCCAAAGCC